GGAAGGATGTTGCAGTGGTCAACAATTTTATATTTAAGAACAACAACAACAAAAAAAAAAAAAAAAAAAAAAAACAAAAAAAAAACAAGAAGTCCTCATTCATGTACTTTTCCTTTCAGGTTTCGGGTTTTTGGTTTGATCAAGCTATATCCTTATATGTAAACTGTTTCCAGGATATGGGGAATTTTTTAGGAAGTTTAAAATTCTTTGTTGCCATTTTAACTTGTCAATTAAGAAACATTGAAAATAATAGAGAATTTAGAGCCCTTCCTCAGCCAGACATAAACCATTGTTGAATTCACCGCAGTTGCTGTAGTTTTTCTTAAAACAGAAATAAAACAGAATAGATCAGATTGTCAAAAAGATAGAAACATGTTAAATGGAAGAATAGGGATCTGAAATAGTTTTTTTTAAAAAATAAATTAAGTAAAAAATGTGAGTAATATTTGTGTGTGTGGGTGTGTGTGAGGGTGTGTGGGTGTGTGAGGGTGAGTGTGTGAGAGAGAGAGAGAGAGAGAGAGAGAGAGAGAGAGAGAGAGAGAGAATGAATGAAGAGAGTTGCAAGATGTAGTAAATTCATTTTATAAAAACTATTTTTACTGTTACTTTAAACATTCCCATCATGAAGAAATTATAGAACAGAGATCAAATTAAAATAAAATAATCAACTGAGTTCAAAATAATGTACGACGTCTACGACAAATAAATAAATAAATATATAGAAATACCGGTATCAAATTGACCGTACACAAAAGTAAATATAACATCAACAATACACACGTAAATACCACATTAACAGCACACAAAACAAATAACAGATTGACGGCGAATGTTGGAACATTAGTTTGCTGTTATGTGGCTGCAATAAATTTCTTTTTTTCTCAGATGATGGAATGTTTTCCTGTTCTTTAACACCCATCTTGATCCCGTTGTACTTATAAATCCCTAACATCATATACTATATAGTTAAACATTGTTTACTAACGTTAACTGTAGTTTACTATGATTTCAAAGATATTTTATAATAGTAAAGCGAATTATTTTTACTATGAATACAATTTGCTCTCTCTCTCTCTCTCTCTCTCTCTCTCTCTCTCTATTTACATTGTGCTCTAATTAGCTCTATAAATATAAGAGCTATGGAACATAGCTTTGGACCCGAGTTCTGAACTGGTCCGAAGAGGCTGCTGCCACCACAGAGTGTGGAAAGAAGCTAAAATTTAAAATAATCTGTATGTACTGTAGGTCTGAAAGTGAAGAGGACTAGTATTACGTGTGGTGGTTGTTGTCTGAGATGCTAGATAAAGTCACTAATTTGTGTGTAATTTTATATAACATTATCAATCTATATATTTTCCTTCTATGATCTACATACATTGTCTATACATTAAATTAAGATTAATATTTATTGAGACATTTAGGGTAAATATTTTTAGCTCACCTGAGCCGAAGGCTCAAGTGAGCTTTTCTGATCACATTTTGTCCGTCTGTCCGTCCGTCCGTCTGTCTGTCTGTCCGTCTGTAAACTTTTCACATTTTCGACTTCTTCTCAAGAACCACTGGGCCAAATTCAACCAAACTTGCCACAAAGTATCCTTGGGTGAAGGGGATTCAAGTTTGTTCAAATGAAGGGCCACGCCCTCTTTCAAGGGGAGATAATTAGGAATTAGTGAAAAAATAATGGCATCATTTAAAAATCTTCTTCTCAAGAACCACTGGGCCAGGAAAAATGAAACTTATGTGGAAACATCCTCAGGTAGTGTAGATTTAATTTTGTTCAAATCATGACCCCTGGGGTTAGGGTGGGGCCACAATGGGGGATCAAATTTTTACATAGAAATATATAGAAAAATATCTTAAAAAATCTTCTTCTTAAAAACAGCAAAGCCATGATTGGTCATATTTATATGGAAGCTTCCTCAGGTAGAGTAGATTTGTTCAAATCATGACTCATGGGGATAGGGTGGGGCCACAATGTGGGATCAAAATTTTTACATAGAAATATATAGGAAAATATCTTTAAAAATCTTCTTCTTAAGAACAGCAAAGCCATGATTGGTCATATTTATATGGAAGCATCCTCATGACCCCCGGGGGTAGTGTGGGGCCACAATGGGGGATCAAAGTTTTACATAGAAATATATAGGAAAATATCTTTAAAAATCTTCTTCTTAAGAACAGCAAAGCCATGATTGGTCATATTTATATGGAAGCTTCCTCAGGTAGTGTAGATTCAAGTTTGTACAAATCATGACCCCTGGGGATAGGGTGGGGCCACAATGGGGGATCAAAGTTTTACATAGAAATATATAGGAAAATATCTTTAAAAATCTTCTTCTTAAGAACAGCAAAGCCATGATTGGTCATATTTATATGGAAGCTTCCTCAGGTAGTGTAGATTCAAGTTTGTACAAATCATGACCCCTGGGGATAGGGTGGGGCCACAATGGGGGATCAAAGTTTTACATAGAAATATTTCGGAAAATATCTTTAAAAATCTGCTTCTTAAGAACAGCAAAGCCATGATTGGTCATATTTATATGGAAGCATCCTCAGGTAGTGTAGATTCAAATTTGTTCAAATCATGACCCCCAGGGGTAGGGTGGGGCCACAATGGGGGATCAAAGTTTTACATAGAAATATTTCGGAAAATATATTTAAAAATCTTCTTCTTAAGAACAGCAAAGCCATGATTGGTCATATTTATATGGAAGCATCCTCAGGTAGTGTAGATTCAAATTTGTTCAAATCATGACCCCTGGGGGTAGTGTGGGGCCACAATGGGGGATAAAAGTTTTACATAGAAATATATGAAATGGGGTTCGTTTAAAGGAAAATAATGACAAACACCATACTGTCGTTGTGGATAAATATATTCAATCTCAGAATAATCAGTATTATCAGTAGTATCAGTTTTATCACAGCTCTGAAATATATATAAACAATCATAAATATTTTATAACAAAACATACATGTAGATCACTTGCCAGATAGCACGGTCAAATGAAGAGTTATTTCCCTTTAATTGTGCTCATAGATAAAACATTAAGAGTTATCTTTCTTAATCAATAATATGTACAAAGTATGAACACTCTGGAATATATAGATAAAACAATGAGATCAAATTATACTGAACTCTTCCAGAATAATATAATTATATAGACAATATTCAAAATATATATACATCATACTTATATGTGATATAGAGCCATAACTCCAATATATATATATATATATATATATATATATATATATATATATATATATATATATATATATATATATATATATATATATATATATATATATATATATATATATATATATATATATATATAGCTGAACACAGCTGTACTCTATTCAGTGATCTGTGTATGAATAATAAATACAACTTTACTATATTACACACTTATTCTCATAGATATAAAATATACTTATTACTCTGAATATTTACAAAGTCATAAAATAATCACACAAACTGAACTTTCATACTTTATATTAGAATATTATTATTTGGGAATTTACAAGATAAACAATATAGAAGATGAAATTAGTAAAAGTAAACTTACATTCTGTCCTGTCTTGGTCATTGTCATAAATAAGTCATATCATATCAAAAAGCCAATATGTCTGGTCAGACCAAGATCTCCAACAAAAGTAATTAACAAAGTAAAAACCAAAAGAGAGGGAAACTAACCAACCAATGAAATCCAAGTTGGCCTGGACACTACACAAGATATATATAGAAAAGGGACAGGGGTTTAAATGACCACTGTGATGTCATACATCTATAAATAACTCAATAAACACAGATTGATGTAAATAATTCCATGTGGATTTATTCAATAAATGAAATGCTGTAAAGAAATAAATATGACAATTTAACTGAATTAATTTAATCCTGAAATATAATAATTAATATATGAAATAAATCACCCTATCACATATAGGCCTATAGGAAAATATTTTAAAAAATCTTCTTCTTAAGAACAGCAAAGCCATGATTGGTCATATTTATATGGAAGCATCCTCAGGTAGTGTAGATTCAAGTTTGTACAAATCATGACCCTTGGGGATAGGGTGGGGCCACAATGGGGGATCAAAGTTTTACATAGAAATATATAGGAAAATATCTTTTTCTCAAGAACAGAAAAGCCATGGTTAGTAAAATTGATATGGAGGCATCCTTGGGTAGTGTAGAATGAAATTTGTTCAAATGAGGGACCCCGGGGGTAGGGTGGGGCCACAATGGGGGATCAAATTTTTAAAAAATCTTATACTCAAGAACAGCAATGCCATTTGTTATATTGATATGAAAGCATCATCAGGTAGTTTAAAATACAACCCCCATCCCCATCCCCCTTCGTTAACTTTTCAATACTAAACTGATTTTTGCATTTTTTTTCCTGGCCAATGTGCTCAGGTGAGCGATGTGGCCCATGGGCCTCTTGTTCAATTTTAAAACTCCTTTTTATGTAGAAATATGTTGTATCGAGTTTACTCGACAGACGACCTTTCTTTTCAGTCATAAACCATCTCTAATATTTTTTTCAGTTGTTTTAAAATTTCTTGAAACGGTAATTATAAGTTATAAGTTTCATTGATTTACATTTAGACCATTTTCTTACATAAATATTACAAAACCAACTATTTTTATTACAACTGTCCAAGATCATGCCTTCTTTTAATACATGCATTGTATAATAAAGTCTTTAGTTCAAAGTTTTGTAGGTGATTAGTGTGCCCATATTATTTCATTGAATCGGGCTCGAAAATCTTATTTGGATTAAAATTATTTAATATAATTTTGATTAACAATTATTAGTCATCATTTATATTGATAATAGCAAAACATAGCGTTTATAACATACAGTGATTGTGCCGAAAACATAGATTTACTATTCATTTTCGTTTGATCTGCTAAGAACGCCCTAATAGTCAGTGATGTTTGTATTGGGTGTTTAGTCCGAGCAGTAATGACAACACGACAGAGTGAGAGAAAATATTGTAGCTGGGAGTAAAATGACGTACAAATGGACAGGAAAGCTAGTAGGAATCACCATAGTCATACTTGTTTATGAAGACTCGGCTGTTCATAGCATGTCGGACTCACAAAAAAGAGAAACGAAGTGAGATTTTAAATTTTGACCGTAAGAAGTCTGTAGTTGTTTACAAATCCATTTGTTTTCATATATCAGTACGTATGCCAAATAGTAATTTAACTTGGTGTGTTGTGAATTTAAAGATTGTTTGAATACGAAAATAATCGTAGCATTTCTTTAACAAAACATTCAAATTCTAAACAAAATATCAAGATATTTGCTTGTACTATCACAGGCCTGCATTTTACAGTATACACGGGTTCACCACGATCTTTTGATTTAGCTGTATAGCTTGAAATAAGCTATATAACTTTATTAGGCTGTTCAAAAAGGCTTGATAAAGCCATTTGATAAGTTGCTGCTTCTGAGTGGATTGAATCTAGGACCTCAGGCATGCCAGTCCATAGATCTCTATAGAGCGTTCTATTGTTAAAATGATATTGTCCTATGGACCTGGTTTAAGGATAGAATTAGTTCTGTGTATTGGCAATGTAGCAAAATAAACACAGGCAATAACTTGAACTCTGTGGATTTTCCATGAATAATCCAGAGAGTTCCAAATGTCAACATGGCGTGTAAATTTGAAACGAGGGAAAAAAGTTGAGAAAATGAGTTGAATTTTCTTATTTATATGGATTTTTTTTTTTTAGGTTAAAAGGCATATACAATCTTAAAAATGTTTGTTATGATTAATTTGGTAGTTATTAAATATTTTCAGTGCAACTCCTTTTGTATTCTTCAAAATCACTTCGGAGCAGATCCACTCTGATTTGCTACATTGCAAGCATATGGGACGTATTCTAACTTGGTGAGGGCTTGTCCCAAGACACAGTTAAATTATTCTAACTAGCCAGTCCAGTGCTCTAATGATCAAGCTAAAGGGTTATCTCACTATAGAAAAAGCTATAGGATGCCATGTAGTTAACACTACCATAAAAATATTCTTTATTTGTAAGAAACAGAAAAAAACACTAAATTTGAACTATGAACTATTTAAAAAAAGAATCCAAATAAAAGATTGTTTAAAGATTGCTGCTTTTGAACACTTGTTAGCAAAAGATGTATTTCTATTGTTTGGGTAACTGTGTGGTGAGGGATAGATACATGTAAGTATGGTTACTTCACATTGTACTGAATCATTTCCAGTCAATTACCTTGTTGACCAGTAACTGTGTGGTCACAGATCTATTTCTCTAAATAGCCCAAAAACTTTTAGAACTTTGAGTGCAAAGTATGTGGAGGAGGTGGGGTTTTAAAAAAGATATTTTTTATGCATCTAATTTAATTTTTTTTTTAGAACGATAAAAAGTTGAAAACTTTCACTGCACCAAAGTGTAACTTTTTTTTAACATTTGCAGAAAAAATGCACATTTAAGAAAGAAGTATGATAAAATAGCTAAATCAAGCTATTAGGAATAGCTAATTCAAGCTATACACTAATTCAAGCAAAACAGCTAAATCAAGAGATTGTGCTGGACCTGAAACAGACAAACATAACTGAGCATACAGTAGAGTAAAAATTTCAGAGATTTTTTTTTTTTTTTTGGTTAATGAGTTTGCTGAATATATAGTAGAAGTTATGTTTTTTACAGACTGACAGCAGGTATTGCATACATTTGGTATTACAGGAAATTTACAGTAAATTTATAGAGGAAATCAACTCATTATAACAGTCAAGAGAAAGATTGTTTTAATTAATACTCAATTCCTTTGTAAAATTTTAATTTGACAAAATAATTTTATCATATTTGTTTTTCTCCTAGGGAAACTGTTGAAGAAATGTTTAATCATGCATATGGATCTTACATGGTAATTTTTACGTAATATTATTTGCAGTACTTAAATATGAATTGTGAGTTTGTAAATGACATCTATTTTCCATGTTCTTAGTAAGTGGAATGATTGAAATGCTTTACTTATCAGAAATACGCTTTTCCTGCTGATGAACTGATGCCATTAAGCTGTAAGGGGCGGTATCGTGGGACGGAGCCGAGTAGGGGTGATGTTGATGATACCCTTGGAAAGTAAGATCATTTACTTGTATCACTATATTATTATAGTATGTATTATTACTATAATAATTATTATTCATAATTGATATTCTTTAAATGTAAAGTCAATAGATTAAATTCTATGTATATTGTCAAAATGCTAATTATGTTACATGGCATTACATTTTATTTCAGTTTTACTTTAACATTAATCGATACCTTGGATACATTAGCTGTAAGTAAAAAAAAAATTACTGCACTTTTCTCGACTTGTCATTTTTGTTGAATATTTTGAGTAAAGTAAAGGAGGTACGCATGTGAGTTAAGGCTAGGTATAGGCGTTTCTATGCAAATGAGCTAATAAAAACGCATAAGAGGTATATTTATTATTCAGGGAAAGTTTTGATTTATTTTCTTATGCATACTTAGTACCCACGATATGTTATAGCCAGTACACAATTTGATGTCATATTATGATGTCACTGATCTTACCTACTGTAGGTAATAAAACACATCAACAAAACAGCTTCGGCGCAAGGGATTACCCTATTTATTTAAACATAAAAATTGTATAATGCCAAGAAGAATATTCTATAGATAAATAAAACTACTGGACAAATCCTAGGCATTTTCTCATTTAATCGGAATTTGAGGAAACTTATACCGGACTGTACATTTTTACCCTTATTCAACTTAAAACTTTACAAATAAAAATTATACAACTGAGCTGTTGATATTTGTGCAGCAATACCAGCAAACTTTGGAATATTTTGCTTCTAAATATACTTTGTTTCAGTTAAATAAAATAGAGCATGTCCTTGCGCCGAAGCATTTTTGTTGATGTCCATTATAATCTTGTGTAGTAAAGAACAATGACATCATAATATGACGTCATAATGTGTACTGGCTATCTCATGTCATGTCGTGGGTACTAGGGTTGTGCGATTTTATCAGTATACCGGTATATCGTGATTTTTAATTGCGTGATACGTATCGTGTTACGGAAACTAAAATACCGGTATCTAGGTATATAATTATAAATTCCAGAAATTATTCATTTATATGTTTAATCTTTCAAATTACAATTACAGGAAGTGTAAAAAATGTTAAAAATGGTTAAAGAACGGCTTCTTAGCATCAAAACGAGTTTTATATTATGTAAATAAAAAGATGAGAAAGTGAAGTTATATTTTTCTGGCATATTTTTAGGAAAAATTATGAATATTCATTTAAAGTCATTGTAAAATTGCTTGTAAAAATATCATGATATTATCGTGATATTTGAGGAAAAAATTGTGATATATCGCGATATGAAATTTTTTTGCGATACCCATCCCTAGTGGGTACCAAGTCTGTATTAGACAATAAGTTTTTACTTTCTCTGTATAATAGGTATAGTCCTTAGGCATTTTAATTAGTTTATTTGCATAGAAATGCCTATACCTAGCCTTAACTCACCTGCGTAATGAAAACAGAAAAAATTTAAGGACTGTTTTTCTTGTGTATATGTATATGTAATATACTCTGCATTGCTCACTTAAAGACCCACTCAGGCAATATTTAAAAAAAATGTTTGTTTTCCTTCTCCTGACCACCTGGCTAAAGAAGGCCCAATTCAGAACTTTTTTTAACATCCATGAATTTTTTAGCTCACCTGAGCTGAAAGCTCAAGTGAGCTTTTCTGATCACCCGTTGTCCGTCCGTCCGTCTGTCTGTCCGTCCGTCTGTTCGTCTGTCTGTAAACTTTTCACATTTTCAACTTCTTCTCAAGAACCACTGGGCCAATTTTAACCAAACTTGGTACAAAGTATCCTTGGGTGAAGAGGAGTGTAAATTTTTAAAATAAAGGGCCAAGTCCCCTTACAAGGGGAGATAATCAAGAAAAAACAAAAATAGGGTGGGGTCATTAAAAAATCTTCTTCTCAAGAACCACTGGGCCAGAAAAGCTGAAACTTATGTGGCAGCATTCTGGGGTAGTGTAGAATCTAAATTGTTCAAATCGTGACCCCTGGGGGTAGGGCGGGGCCACAATAGGGAATCCAAGTTTTACATTGAAATATATAAGAAAAATCTTAAAAAAATCTTCTTCTCAAGAACCACTGGGCCAGAAAAGCTGAAACTTTTATGGAAGCATCCTGGGGTAGTGTAGATAATAAATTGTTCAAATCATGACCCCCGGGTTAGGGCGGGGCTACAATAGGGAATCCAAGTTTTACATTGAAATATATAGAAAAAATCTTCTCAAGAACCACTGGGCCAGAAATGCTGAAACTTATATGGAAGCATCTTGGTATAGTTTAGATTCTAAATTGTTCAAATCATGACCCCCGGGGGTAGGGCGGGGCCACAATAGGGAATCAAGTTTTACATTGAAATATATTGGAAAAATCTTAAAAAATCTTCTTCTCAAGAACCACTGGGCCAGAAAAGCTGAAACTTATATGGAAGCATCTTGGGGTAGTGTAGAATCTAAATTGTTCAAATCATGACCCCCGGGGTTAGGGAGGGGCCACAATAGGGAATCCAAGTTTTATATTGAAATATATAAGAAAAATCTTAAAAAATCTTCTTCTCAAGAACCACTGGGCCAGAAAAGCTGAAACTTATATGGAAGTATCCTGGGGTAGTGTAGATTCTAAATTGTTCAAATCATGACCCCCTGGGGGTAGGGCGGGGCCACAATAGGGAATCCAAGTTTTACATTGAAATATATAAGAAAAATCTTAAAAAAATCTTCTTCTCAAGAACCACTGGGCCAGAAAAGCTGAAACTTTTATGGAAGCATCCTGGGGTAGTGTAGATAATAAATTGTTCAAATCATGACCCCTGGGGGTAGGGCGGGGCCACAATAGGGAATCCAAGTTTTACATTGAAATATATAAGAAAAATCTTTAAAAATCTTCTTCTCAAGAACCACTGGGCCAGAAAAGCTGAAACTTACATGGAAGCATCCTGGGGTAGTGTAGATTCTAAATTGTTCAAATGATGACCCCCGGGGGTAGGGCAGGGCCACAATAGGGAATCAAAGTTTTACATTGAAATACATAAGAAAAATCTTTAAAAATCTTCTTCTCAAGAACCACTGGGCCAGAAAAGCTGAAACTTATATGGAAGCATCCTGGTATAGTGTAGATTCTAAATTGTTCAAATCATGACTCCAGGGGGTAGGGTGGGCCAAAGTAGGGATTCAAATTTTACATTTAAATATATAGGAAAAATATTTAAAAGCCTTTTTTTTAAGAACCACTTGACCAGAAAAGCTACAACTTAAACGGAAGCATCCTTGCATAGTGTAGATTCTAAATTGTTCAAATCATGACCCCGGGGGGTAGGGTGTGACACAATACATATTACAAGGGAGAAAATCTGGAGAAGAACAGCAGGGCCAAATATACTCAGGTGAGCGTTGTGGCCCATAGGCCTCTTGTTTTCTTTTTATTCCTGAATTTTCTTATCCTGTCAACAAATATGTTGAAATATTCTGGAAAAAAATTTTCCCACTACTTACTGACCCAAATTTTTTTTATCCTGAACTGAGAGAGGGCAAACAAACATTAAGACAGCTTCATTTACAAATAAAGACTTTTTTTTCTCATCAGATTTTTCTATCATGATATATCATCATTTCAGAAGGAAATAAGAACTTGTAGATATTCATGTTGGTTTTAACCTTTTACTTTCAGGTTCTGGGACAAGTTGAAAAATTTGAAACAGCTGTCCAGTTAGTTATTGATTATGCCAGATTTGACAGTGATATTATTGTGTCAGTGTTTGAAACTAATATTCGAGTTTTGGGGTAAGTTCTACTGACTATAGGTAAACATTTATTATACCCCCGCTCCGAAGGAGAGGGGGGGTATACTGTTTTACCCTTGTGTGTCTGTCTGTCCGTCTGTCTGTCCGTCTGTCTGTCTGTCCGTAACAAACTTTGGTCACAGTTTTCTCAGCAACTACTCATCAGAGGTGCTTGAAATTTTAAAACACTCTTTGTTTAGGCATGCCATATGGTGGGATTCATTTTTGTATGAATTCGATGTCAACTTCCTGTTTATCCGTGCGTTTGTCCGTACCATACATAAAAAAATTTGGTCGTAGTTTTCTCAGCAACTACTCATCGCAGATGCTTGAAATTTTAGCACACTCTTTGTTTAGGCATGCCATATGGTGGGATTCATTTTTGTACGAATCCGATGTCAACTTCCTGTTTATCCGTGCGTCTGTCCGTATCACACATAACAAACTTGGGTCGCAGTTTTCTCAGCAACTGCTCATCACAGGTGCTTGAAATTTTAACACACTCTTTGTTTAGGCATGCCATATGGTGGGATTCATTTTTGTACTAATCCGATGTCAACTTCCTGTTTATCCGTGCGTCTGTCCGTACCACACATAACAAACTTTGGTCGCAGTTTTCTCAGCAACTACTCATCATAGGTGCTTGAAATTTTAACACACTCTTTGTTTAGGCATGCCATATGGTGGGATTCATTTTTGTACGAATCCGATGTCAACTTCCTAGTTTTCTCAGCAACTACTCATCGCAGATGCTTGAAATTGTTTCTTTGTTTAGGCATGCCATATGTTGGGATTCAGTTTTTACAAATCCGATGTCAATTTCCTGGTTATCACTGTGTTTGTCCATAACTGAACTTGTGTATTCACATCAGAGCGGGGGTATTATTAGTGAGCATTGGCTCACAGACTTCTTGTTTTGCTATGTTTATCATTAGAGGTTTACTTAAAATGCAGGTAAACTTAACAAGCATGTGTTGATTACTGTAAATGTATTATATATTATGTAGTTGGCAGAAACTGATTTTTGAACAAGTAAGCGTAGATTTGATTTAGTTTAGGTTTGATTTAGATTTAATTTAGTGCATTTCTTAATGTTCTTATTTATGTGCGTATGTGCAATACATTTAGAGTTGTACAGTACTTGAATTAGCAGAAGTTGCTTTCCACCAAAAATACTGAAAAGAATACACAGCCAAGTATAATATGTTTACAGTGTATCATTTACATATTTTCACCAAAATACATGTATACAGGATTGAGTTGCAATTACTGGATAGAGGTCAATTTATGCTAAACTTAAAAGATCAATATATATATATATATATATATATATATATATATATATATATATATATATATATATATATATATATATATATATATATATATATATATATATATGTATATATATATATATATATATATATATATATATATATATATATATATATATATATATATATACCCCCATATCATGCTTACCCCTCACTTCCCCCAAAAAGAATTAATCCAGATGTTACATATAACATGCAAAGATTTTCATGTAGAGTATCAAATTACCTAAAGGAAGGAAAATTCAGTTTTTTTTGTTTAAGTTGATATTTTTAAATTTGTATACTAAGACATATAAGAGAATACCACTACTAACACTGGTATTTTGTGTTTAAGGGGGTTATTAGGAGGCCATGTGATGGCTGCTTATTTTAAGAGGAAGCGGCGTGCCATGGAATGGTATAACGGTGAACTGCTAGTGATGGCTAAAGAAGTGGGATACCGCCTTCTGCCAGCACTGAATACAACCACTGGTATTCCATACCCCAGGGTATGTAGTATTACTGTGTACCTGGTATTTGATATCCCAAAGTATGTATTGTTACTGCAAATATTACTGCTTTCATTGTATCCTGTATCCCAGATTATAACAGCTTACATGGTATTATGTATCCCAGAGTATTACAGCCTACATTGTATTCCATATCCCAGATTATTTAAACTTACATTGTATTTCATATCCTAGAGTATTTAAACTTATATTGTATTCCATATCCCAGATTATTACAACTAACATTGTATCTTGTCCCAGAGAATTAAAGCTTACATTGTATTCTATATCTGAGAGCATTGCAGCTCACATTGTATTCTATATTCCAGAGTATTAAAGTCTACATTGTATTCTATATTCCAGAGTATTACAGCTCACATTGTATTCTATATTCCAGAGTATTACAGCTCACATTGTATTCTATATCCCAGAGTATTACAGCTCACATTGTATTCTATATTCCAGAGTATTACAGCTCACATTGTATTCTATATCCCAGAGTATTAAAGCTTACATTGTATTCTATATTCCAGAGTATTACAGCTCACATTGTATTCTTTATTCCAGAGTATTACAGCTCACATTGTATTCTATATTCCAGAGTATTACAGCTCACATTGTATTCTATATTCCAGAGTATTAAAGCTTACATTGAATTCTATATTCCAGAGTATTACAGCTCACAATGTATTCTATAGTCCAGAGTATTAAAGCTTACATTGTATTCTATATTCCAGAGTATTACAGCTTACATTGTATTCTATATTCCAGAGTATTACAGTTTAAATTGTATTCTATATTCCAGAGTATTATAGCTTATATTGTATTCTGTGTCATTTCAAAGAAATTCTGAATCTATTGCTCCCTGTAATTTATGTAACTAAAGAAAATATAGCTGTTATTTAGCTTGATCAATTAAGACATCTTATTATATACCCGATTGTGTATTACTCAGCTTTACTGCTGATTTCATGCAATTGTGTGATGATGTGATCTGACTTTTCAGATCAAAACACTGTAGTTTTCTGAATCTTTGTCACCAATTTCTGAAGTTGATGACATACATGTAGTACACAGCATATGTGACATTTCTTCTTGCATATCAAATAAAGTTCCTCAGAAATGTGTATTTTTTAAAGAAACATATGTTGTATAATTGATCAAAAAAAAATCTTGTATAATATTTTAATTGCTAATTATAGATGGGAATATAATAAATTTATCATTATAACAGTAACTTGATCTGAGTAACCATATCACTTCGAGTTGACAAGTGTGGATCATCAGATCAAACGAGACGTGAAGCATCAAATGATCCTTGCCTCTCAGCTAGATTTGTATTTTTCAGATTAATTTAAAATATGGTATGGAGAAAGATAAGTTAGCACAGAGACATAAGGACACATGTACTGCTTGTGCTGGCACCATGATATTAGAATTCGCTGCATTAAGTCGTCTAACGGGAGACCCGGTGTTCGAGGTTAGTATCAAACTAGTCTAGATGTTTACTTCAAGTGTGATTTTAGCATACCGGGTAGTAAACATATTTAAAGGAAAAATTTTATACATATCTTGAACATTTTTCAGATGAAATTATGAAATAATTTCAGTTAATTAAGGATATTTCTAGTTTGTTAAAAATTTACAACCTGAAGTTTTCTCCAACTGTTGTCTCTCCCTAGCTGAAACAGGATGTCTCTTTATATATTTCAATGTACACTATATGGGGCTGCTGAAATTTAATAGTCAAGCTCTTCTTGAGGAAAGGACTCTTAAAGAGTCATTAATATATGATTATTTTTCTATTTTTAAAATACCATGACTCCACATCTTTACTCAGTGAAAAACCTTTCACATAAATTTTGTCTTCTCTGGTCCTCTAGTTCTTGAGAATATTTTTAAATGATCCATAACATTTTTACATAGTCCTTTATTATCTGCCCTTGATGTGAGATGTGGCTTTTTATCCAAACAAATTTTAATCCTCTTTACCCAAGTTTTGTACTCCGTAGAAATAGATTCTGTGATTCTGGAAAAGTTGAAAATGGGAGTTTACAGACCACACAAGAGAACCAGACAAACAGACAAACCAGTGCTGCTAAACACATTTCAATTCAGTCAGAAAAGCTAGCTTGAGCTTGTGGCTAATGTCAGCAAAAAATCAAAAAATAGCATTATTTGATGATGTTGAAAATTACACAAAAATATTTTTGTTATTGCTGTATGAGACTAGGTTTATTCTACTAAAATGACTTAACTATACACAGATAACAGCTGTGGTTATCTTGGTAATAAAATATGAATATTTTGCCTTTGCAGGAGAAGGCCCATAAAGTTATGGACTATCTATGGCAGCAGAGGCACAGCTCCAGTGACCTCCTGGGAACGGTCATTAACGTCCACAGCGGGGACTGGATAAGGAGGGGTGGGTATTTAATGCATAAAACGGTCATTAATGTCCACAGCGTGGACTGGATAAGGAGGGGGTGGGTATTTAATCCATAAAACGGTCATTAACGTCCACAGTGGGGACTGGATAAGGAGGGGTGGGTATTTAATGCATAAAACGGCCATTAATGTCCACAGTGGGGACTGGATAAGGAGGGGTGGGTATTTAATGCATAAAACGGTCATTAATGTCCACAGCGGGGTCTGGATAAGGAGAGTTGGGTATTTAATACAAAAAAGATAGGATTAAAACAATTATTTAAGGTTTTTATGTTCATGTATTTCGGTCAAATGTTTGAAGACATATGTATATAATTTTTCAACCTCATAATGAAGATGTGACAGGAGTTATCTCTCTTTGATTGACAGAGGCAGGTGTTGGGGCTGGCACTGATTCCTATTATGAATATGTATTGAAAGCTTATGTTTTACTTGGTGATGAGAAGTACTTGTACAGATTTGATAGGGTAAGTTTACAGGCTTTCTTGAGTACACACAATGGGTATTAATTGATTTCTGTAATATTTCATGCAAAACTCAGTCTTGCAGAGCCACATTCATAGCCCAGCAATATCTTTGTTATTTCATAGGAATTCAAATCTAAGTATTGTATATTACTGCCCATGACCTAAAGGAGTGTTATGATATTAAGTTGAGGCCATGTTTCAAATAACTAGGTCAAGAAAGTATATTTAAGGTCAAGGTCATTGGACACAACTACGTATTCTTAGAGAAAAGTTAAACTTGAGCATGATTTTGTCATTGACTTGTAGATGTGTCAACATGGTCTAAACCTAGATGCAAGGTCATTTCCTCAAGACCCTTGTGTCATGCTCTGGGGTGCGATACCAGGGGGCCTTGCTTTTGCTTGCTAAACCTTCAATAGATTTTTCTCTGCCACAAACTGAAAGAGTATGGCAGGGGCATGTATTGTTTGTTATGTTTGTCTCGTTCTTCATCAATTGAGCTGATTTAAAGGAACTGTTTAAGAATTTTCTTTTAACTTCAAACAAAGATACATGCAGGTGAAAACAATTCAACTGTGTTGTAAATTTTTACCTTGACCTTCCTTATGACCTTGAACTTCACTTTCTGTCAAACATCATACAAAGATACATAATGGTAAGAGCAATTAAATTGTGGCATAATTTTCTGACCATGGCCTTCCATATGACCTTGATCTTTACTTTCAAAATATTTTTATCATACAAAGATTCTTATTGGTTGGAACATTTTAACTTTAATTCTTTCAGCTTGACCAATTATTTCTCATTTTGCATTTACTTTTGCTTCAAAGAAACTGTTCCAGATATTTTTATCAAGCTTCATATGATGGAACAAATTGATGAGAATTGTTCCACTGTTTAACCTTTACCTTCCCTTTGACCTTGCATTTAACCTTCTCCCCACAGTGTTGCTCCTAGTACAGTTAAACTTCGTTATCTCGAAGTTGACGGGACCGTTGATGAACTTCGAGATATCCGGGGGTTCGACATATCGAGGGTTATAATTCAAATGAACCTCAAATAAACTTAGTGCAGTGAACATGTACTTAATAGTAAAAACCTGTCAAAATTCCTTCTTGAAATTCTGTATACAATTTCTTTAATATACCTGTACATGTATTTAGCAATAAAAAGATTTTTGCATCCTCTTCATAACTCACAAAATAAAAACTTTGTATATTAAATATACACAGAAGTATGGTGTGTACAGACGATTGTAAATTCTGCACGTTCATATAGGAAAAATAAATTCTAATTGCATTAAATTAGAGAATTTTGTTTCACTTTGTTGTTTATAATTTTCACTTTCATATGCATAAACTGTGTATGCGCGCATAATAAACAAAGCTTTAAATAGCATTTATAACAAGATATATGTACCCAAGCCATAAAACAATTAATGTGTCATCCATGGGTACGCATTAGACTAATAAACACAACCTTTGGCTTGCATAATTAAAATCAAGGTAAGCCATACATACACTTCGTATAATTATCGCGCTATTATCTGTTGATCACAGGAACACAGGTAACCCGAGCGTGACAGACAGGTGGGTGTTATAGAGCATTCAGTTTACCTAACGGACTTGATCATCAAAGCGGAAAATTATCCCGACTTCGAGATAACGCATGTGATTTTAATGAAAGGGTACACAATTTTACTTCGAGATAACCAGGGTATTCGACATTACCATGTTCGACATAGAGGGGTTTATTTTAATCATTTATAAAGCAAATTTCGTCGGAACCGCGGCCTAACTTCGACATATCCGGGGTATTCGAGATATCCGTGTTCGAGATTTTGAAGTTTAGCTGTAGTTCATTTTATTGAATTAAAAAAAAAGGATTACTATAAACAATTTCATACAGAAATAAATCTCATGAGAAAATTTCAACCATACCTACTTGAAGTATCATAATTATATATATCTGCTACAAATAGAGAGATATCAACTGGAAAGAATAAGACTTCATTTAGCTGTTAGATGCAATGTAGATATGATGAATGAACACTACATTTCATACAACAAAAGACAACAACTGTACTTAAGATACCAGCTCTGTTTTTGAAAAAAAAAAATGAAAAATTATTCCTTCTTTCCTCATATTTCACTAATAGGTATATTTCTTTTCTTGTTGCTATACAATGAACCATTAAACAGGGCATTCATTTCCTATGGACATATTTCTAGTTTTAAAAATGTATGTGTTCAAAGTTCATCATCCTTCATATATAATGATATTTTTTTATTACATTACAGCATTATAATTCCATTATGAAGTACATGAGTAAAGGACCAATGCTGGTTGATGTTCACATGCATAAACCCACGTCATCAGCCCGACATTTCATGGATGCTCTCCTTGCTTTCTGGCCGGGATTACAGGTCTTAAAAGGCGACATCAGTCCTGCCATTAAAACACATGAAATGCTGTATCAAGTGATTCAGAGGCATAATTTTCTACCTGAGGTAAAAATGCTTTACTTTTTAGCTCACCAGAGCTAAAAGCAAGTAAGTGTCCAGCATCCCTTAAATGTCCAAGTCTTGTGTAAAGTTTTCATATTTTAACGAGGTCGAGTCTAATTCGAGTGCACATGACTTTGCGCAGGTGTTTAGTTTCATGCAGTCGTAGGTGCAACATAACACCTATCCTAAGTATTATAATTTTGATACAAAATTAACATTATTTTGCATTATCTGTAACTTTCATGGTCTTAAAGTGTGCTTTTAAGACAATAATTAGGAACAAACGCTGAAATGGCTTTAACGACGTCACTGTTTTCCGTTCTGTAAGCCATGCATGAAGCTGAAGAATGATGCATGACTTGTTTGAAAATTCAAGATGTTCAAGGACATTTTATTGAAAATTGTTGACAGAACATTAGAAGAAATATAAGAGCAATCTAAACATTGTTATTTTTTTACCAAAATTAATTCACCTGCGCCGATATATACAAAATGTAAGTCGCAATATGGCAAATTTAGAGGTATTGGACATCGAAAAAAAATAACCTTTGTAATAATTCCTAGATATACAAAAAATATGAGAAAAATGTGATAATTTGGCACGTTTCCAACAAATCCCATAGGGTCCAATAGTAAAATTTTGACAACTTTTGAGAGAGCCCCTTAAGAAATCGGGATGGTAAAGATTTGATTTTTTTTTTATGTTAAAATAATTAATATAATAGTAAAAATTCATTTAAGAAAATTTATTAAAATATTTAGGATAGAAATAATTAGACTCGGCCTTGTTAACTTCTTCTCCAGAACAACTGGGGAAATTTCAACCAAACTTGGCACAAAGCATCCTTGGGTGAAGGAGAATGAAGTTGTTAAAATGAAGGGTCAGGTTAGTCATAAGTACATTGAAACATCCCCATGATTCCAATTAGGTCATGACCTTTTGGGGATAGGGTTGGGCCACAGCATGGGGTAAACATTTTTTTTTTATGTGAATAAAGTGGGAAAGTCTTCTGTTGATGAATGGGTCAGGGTGACTCAGGTGAGCATTTAGGCCCATAGGTTTACTGTTTATCTATACATGTACATAAATTTTGGTTAACCATTAATGTCTTTTATCAGGTTTATTTTATTTTCTTAAGCTGGTTTACATGTATTGGTGAATGTAAAGTAATAGGTAAAAATGACAGCTTGTTTAATTATTTAATTATTCATTATTTATTTAGTTGTTGATGTCGTTAGGTGTTAATTAAGCAGCAAGATGAAAAGTTCAGTGTCAGAAATTCCTCTTAACCTAGTTTCTTAATAGTTCATTATTCCATATCATGCCTTCGCAATTAATAGATGACTTGTTTTTGTTACAGGCATTCACTACAGACTTTAAAGTCCACTGGGGACAACACCCTCTGAGACCAGAGTTTGTTGAATCAACATATTTTCTGTATAAGGTGAATGTCTTGCCATGTTAATGATAATCAGGCACTGAAGATGATTTATTGTGTGTGCTGTTAAATTAACTGCACAACTGTAGCATTATGGTTTTATATATTAGTCTTTGACCATAAAGCTACAGATCCCATAATGCAAATATGGTGCAATTTATGGCATTTATATCAGTCTCTACTTTCCAGCATTGGTCAATCAACTACCTTTCACTCCCTAATTCCAGACATATTCCTTAAACAACCTGTATATTTTATCCCCCTCCTAATCCTTTTTAGTCATCTCTACAGACCAATAAACTAGCTTCTTTTGAATTTGTTGTCATCCGACAAAACACAATATTTGTATTTCATGATCTTTAGCGTTATGGTCAAAAACTAAAATATAAAACCATAACGCTACAGTTCTGCAGCTTCTGTTAAATGAACATACATTTGCAAATGTTTTCCATTCTATAAATTCAATTACTGAAGATCACCAAATTTTTGCGACACTTTATTTTCACGTGATGGTCATTTGGTATTGATAAGAGAGACATAATTTTCATGAACTTTGGATATTGTACTATATATTCTTTAGTGCTAGAAATATGCCCCAAAATGAAATTTTTGTGAGCAAGCAGTCCCACTAATTATGCGAAAATAAAGTTCCTGTGAATAAAAAGTGATTTACAGTATTTGAGCAATATATATCGATCCAATTTGTCACATTTCCTCAAATTCATTAAAATGTCATAAATGGTAGACCAGCTGTAAGATTTTAACTTTGCAATTATTTGTCATACATATAAATAAGTAATAAGGTCTACATGTACAGTATGAGGATATATAGGTTGGTAGATGATTAATTTACCAATTAATGCCCTTGTGGCTTAGTGAGATTTGATACATGATCAACATGTGTCTATATCCTGACGTTTAAAAATGATACAATATTTCTCAATGAAAAAGGTTGAAGATAACGAACAGTGATCGATTTCATGAAAATCCCAAACAATACAAATCTGTGAACAGGGCATAAACACAAACTCTTGGAAATTCCAGAGGTAGGATCAGGTGCCTTGATTGTTTTGTGAAGGTTCCAGGTGAAGAGTTTTTTTCTTGGAAAAATGTAAAATATGGACCATAGTCTTTAAAAGTTAAGATAAGACAATTTCGAAAAAAGCAAAGTAATGTACATGTACTGGATTGTTATTTATATCAGCTTAATTGCGTAGCATGGTAAATATTGTTTACTGATTGTTTGATCACAAAGCCAAGTTTGGTAGAGTTTCTTTACCTAGCTTACTAAATTTTGAGTCCTGAGAAACAGAAATTTTGATGTAGAAGTCATACAAGATAACTGTTCATTTCCATACAGGCCACACATGATCCACATTATTTACAAGTTGGGCGATTAATTGTGGAGAATCTGAACAAGCACGCTAGGGTGCCTTGTGGATTTGCTGCCATAAAGGATGTGGTCACAGGGAAACATGAGGATCAGTAAGTACTGTTGTAATGGGTTCCAAAAAAACTTAAGAATGTAAAAAAATGTTTGATTTTGTACCCAATGGCATGTTAATTTTCAAATGTTGATTTTTCAAAGGTCACATAATGTGTGACCAGTTGACAGAAGAGTACCATGGGTGTTACATGTGTTGTGACATAACTGTTTTTGTATCACATTTATCTGTTTCTCACTAGACTAGACTCGTTTGTGCTGGCAGAGACCTTTAAGTATCTTTACCTGTTGTTCTCGGAGGAGAGGGATCTAGTGGTACCGGTCAATGAGTACATCTTCACCACTGAGGCCCACCTCCTCCCCCTGACCCTGTCCCTCGTCAACTCCTCCACAATAGAAACAAAGGTGAGGTCATTAACACTCAAGAGGGCAACAAAAAAGTCTTTATTCCTGTAGAAATCCCATACTAATTTTTTTAAATAATGTATTCATTTTATTTTTTATGCAAAATTATATGAATAGAACTGCAGTTTTGATATAGCAAGAACTATTGTCATGTAATTTGTATTTGTATATTCAAATCTGCTGGGTATTATCTCCTTTATTTCTTCTTAATTTCTTATAAAATCCACTTCACTTGATCAATCCTTTAATGCCAACTAGTTATAGCTGGTTTTAAAATCATCGTATGAAACATTTCTAAAGCAGTGGGCTCTTCTATCAGTGAAACATACAATTTTGTACAGATCAGTAATATGATATTTTATGTATTTAGGGGGTAAACCTGTGTCGGAGATTTTAAATACAGCCAAAACACAGACAATAAGTTGTCTTTCTTTGATAATGCAGGATTTACATAACCAGATTATGCTGATTATGTATTTTTTCTACAATGGCTGCAACCATTAATTCCTGCAATAACAAACATTTTTAGCTCTTCAGATTTGAAGGCTCAAAGAGTTAATGTTATGGCCATTTACTCGGTATGTATTTTGTATAAACTTTTTAGAATGTGGACCATAACTCAAGAACCCTTAGGCCAATTTTAATCCATTTGTCATAGAGTTGCTTCACCCAAGGGTTTCTTGTATACTGAAAATAGGGATGTGATCTTTAAACGAGGGAATATTATAATATGGAAATAAAAAATCAAAAGGAGTGGTTGTTCAACAATCTTCTTTTCAAGAACCACGGAGCAGATTATCGTCAAACATAAGGATGAGGATTTATCATAGAATTGAAAATTGGTCAAGGCGTAACTCTAAGGCAAAAGCCTTTTGCCAAAAGGAAATGGTCTGAAGGTCACTTAAAAGTTGACCTAAATTAATATCTTGTTAAAATCTTTGACATTTTCCCCACTATAAGGACTGGTCTCATCAAAACTTGTCAGTTGATGCATTGTAGGACTTTGTGGGATATATTGATTCAAAAGTAGGTCACAGTGACCTACTTTTTAGCTCTTCTGAGCCAATAAATATCAAACCATAATATAAAAAAAAAAACAAAAAAGGAAATTGTCTGCTTTGAAATAGATGATATGACTCATCCAGAAAATGAAGTAAAATTACTGGGTTTTACCTAGGTTTAGCTCTCATATCTCAGATATTTGTAAGAAAGCTTCTCAACAGCTAAATGTCCTTAAAAGAATAGGAGTACACCTGACCATATTAGGAAAACGTACAATTTATCATACATTCATCACGTCAAACTTCAGCTACTGCCAATTAGATTGGCATTTCTGTGGTGAACAAGAAACAAAAAAAAAAATACAGGAAAGGGCAGCTTTAATTATGACAATTACAAAAATTCATTTAGTTAACTTCTTCAAAAATCAAAACTACCATGTCTCAATGGCTCAAAACTACCATGTCTCAATGGCTCAAACTCGGATGTATCAGAACAATGACTATAGAATGTTTTAAGATTTTAAACGAAGACCATCATACCGGCATGTTTTTATCCAAATTTAAGTTCTGATTGGTGATGTTTTAATTGAACTTGCAGGTGAAAACCAGTTTGTACGATGTTAACCTGGATGGACCTTTATTACTGGATCCTGAAGAGAACTCAGACCAGCAAACCTGTCCAAACCCACTCCACCTCAACAAGGGAACCACATCCTATGCATTTGACATTCGCACAGAACTTAAGGATTACGTCAATAATGTACTCTCCCCAGGGGACAGGTCTGTTCCTGTATCAGAGGTCAACATTTGTTTTCTGTTTGCCAGAAAACTGCAGCTGTTTTATGATTTTTTTTAAAAAAAATTTTCAGTTGTATTCGACCAAGTCCGAGGTTACATGCTGCAGACTTTGTGATAAGTAACAGAGAACACCAGGAGCTGATCAACAGGATGGGAATCAAGATCTCTACCATGAGTGATGGAAGACTTCAGCTCCTCCACTCTGCTGGCTCTGTAAGTACATAGAAAATATTACCGGGTTTGTTTTAACGTCTTGTTTTAGCCAATCATTATCTGTTTTAATTCTTACTTTAGCCAATCATTATCTGTTTTAACTTCGTGTTTTAGCCAATCATCATCTGTTTTAAATTCTTGTTTTAGCCAATCATTATCTGTTTTAAATTCTTGTTTTAGCCAATCATTATCTGTTTTAACAGGCTGCCTCAAAGCAAGATGCAGAGGAGGGATTAGAATTTATGAAAGAAATGATTGAACTGTCTCAAAATGCACAACATGACCGTAAGTGGTAGAAGTTCACTATCTTATCATATAGCTAACATTATTATTTTGTACAATTAGAATAAATAATGTAATTCCCTTAATAAAAAGATAATTATTTGATTTCCCATTTTACTGTAGATTTCATTATTCAAAGCAAAATTGATCAAAGTCTTTTAAATGACATTGTAAATTTTGCTGTTTTACAGATCAACAAGAACCAATGACTGTACAGTTTGTGTCCAACCCGTTCCATGGATCAGTATCGTTAAAGGCAGGACCTGCTCAGTTTGGATACAACCTTAAAGTGAATCCTCCAGTAAGTTAGATTTACCATTACTATTTATCTGGATTTATCATCGTCATTAATCTGGATAAACCATAATCATAATTTATCTAGATAAACCATCATCATTTATCTGGATTTACCATCACTGTTTATCTGGATTTACCATCACTCTACATCTGGATTTACCATCACTATTTATCTGGATTTACTGTGTAAGGAGCTGAAAAGTCCTGTTTTTGTAATGAGTTTACTATACTCTTTTAAAATACTGATAATTAAAAATGCTATAAAGGATTTGAAAATAATGAAAAAAGACCACTTTGTTGTCATTGGAGGAAAATTTTCCTTCTGAATGATAAGGAAGACTGAGCAAGTATGAAGTAAAGAAGGATTTATCTTAAGGAGGGATTCTTCTCTTAAGAACACTTATTTCTTATATTTAAAAATCAATGAAATTTTCACAGAATCAAGAAGACAATATCACTAAGTGATGGTATTAGTTAGATTAAATTTGACCATTTTATATTAGAGGCAAGGTCAGGTCAAGGTCAGTACCTTTTCCCTGGACATTAAGAATAAAAAAATTACTGTTGCCAATCATGCGATGCCTACTTCTATTTCAATAAATTAAATATTTTTCTTTTTTCATAAAGAGATATTACCATATAGGATCTATAAGATGATATTACCAAATTGACATAAATAATTTAACTAAAATGGATATTGGCTAATCCGAATTTTCTCTATTTTTCTTAAAATTTTAAGATATTTTTAATTAGTTGTTTTTATATGCTTCCTATATTTAAATTTTTCTTATTTTCACATATGGTAAAGTTGTCACATAAAGATACAAAATGATATAAAAACAAAAAGTTTTGACTGTTTACTAAGAGAGAAAAAACACTTTTTACGGATTTTTGGCTCAAATCTGAACTTAGATTGGAAGCTTTTAAAAGCTAACATAATTGTAGTTTGATTCGAAAATTGTATTTATTTGATATATTTTAAAACTTTAGTCCCTTATTATAAATTTAACTTACATTTAAAAATTTTCTTCAAGTCTTTGATTGTGTAAAAATTATAACTAAATTCATTGTTCTATAATTATTTTGAGAGGCAGAAAGAAGATATTTTCATATGTCGTCATCCTGCCAAAAATATAGTCCCTGTAAGATTTCAAACTCATCTTACCATTTGTATTTAAAGTTGTACAATTGTGACGAGGAAAGAAAAATATCATCTTTTAAATCTCTTACATCTAAAAATATAAAACATATAAGCAAATATACTTTGAATATTTCATCTAGTCATAAACCAGACAAGAATCCCTCCTTAATAATGAGCACTACTTGGTACTATGCATAAAGGGTTAATAATCCAACTTACATTTCCCACAGTGTCTTTTAACCTAAACATGATAAAGAAAATAAATTGTTAGAAAAAATATGAAAATCTATTTAATATGTTATTATGTGACTGAGTTACAAACCAAAATCAATTTTTCAGCTCAGGTTTAAATGCCTTAATTTGATAAACATTTTTTGGCTTTATGCTTTCGTTATTTTGTTCAGATTTTTGGCCAGGTGGCGATTGTCACACCATATGATGCTTGCCACACCATACAGAACCCTCGTGACTTGGAGGGAAAGATTGGGGTGCTGGAGAGGGGAAGTTGTATGTTTATGGACAAGGTAAGGGTATAGGACTCACATCTTATTTAAGACTTACGTGTTTGTTTCTAACCATATGCTTCTTTTCGCTTTTATGAGTAAACAGAAAAGTTATGTTGATTATACAAGCTCAGTCAAAACACCATCAGTGTAAATCATGACATTTAAGAGACTTATTTGGTCTCATTGGCATTTAATGCTTATTGGATACAATTTAGACTAATGACGCCATAGGAATACCAGTATGTGTACTTCTATAGCCAATCACAAATAGAGAATACTGCATGGCTAATCTGTGGCTCATTGACTGATATTGATTGGGGTCCATTTTTACAGCTTTTGAGTAAGACCTACGATTTTACCTGTTTTTAACATCTTGGCTACCTGATCAGGCCTATATTCAGTCATCATGGTGCTACTAAAATTTCCAATAGGTGCCTAAATTTTTCCTGTTAGTCACCATTTTAAATTGATTTGGCAATTGTCATATTCATAATAAAAGCATTTTCACCAATTGTGATTTGTTTTTTAAAGATGTGAAAAGAAATTCAAAAGAAGAGAAAATCTTTTTTCACCTTAAGTATGTCTTGTTAGCTCACCTGAGCCAAAGGCTCAAGTGAGCTTTTCTGATGACATTTTGTCTGGCGTTCGTCTGTCTAGCTGTCCATCTGTCTGTAACTTTTCACATTTTTTACTTCTTTTCAAGAACCACTGGGCCAATTTCATTCAAACTTGCCACAAAGTATCCTTGGGTGAAGGGGATTCAAGTTTGTTCAAAAGAAGGGCAACACCCTTTTCCAAGAGGAGATAATTACAAATTAGTGAAAAAATAATGGCATCTTTTAAAAATCTTCTTCTCAAGAACCACTGGGCCAGGAAAGATGAAACTCATGTGGAATCATCTTCAAGTAGTGTAGATTCAAATTTGTTCAAATCATGACCCCCCGGGGTAGGGTGGAGCCACAATGGACAATCAGAGTTTAACACAGGAATATATAGGAAGAATCTTTAAAAATCTTCTTCTCAAGAACAGCAATGCCATGATTGGTCATATTTATGTGGAAGCATCCTCAGGTAGTGTAGATAGAAATTTGTTCAAATCATAACCCCAGGGGTAGGGTGTGGCCACAATGGACGAGCAAAGTTATACATAGGAATACATATGTATTTTTTCTAAAGAACAGCAATGCCATCATTGGTCATATTTATATTGAAGCATACTCAGGTAGTGTTGATTCAGATTTGTTCAAATCAAGACCTCTGGGGGAAGGGTTGGACCACAATGAAACTTCAAACTTCTAGGAAAAAAAGCCACAGTTTAAGAAATATGTAAGCATCCTTAGTTAGTGTAGATTCAAGTTTGCTTAAATCATACCCCCCCCCCCCCTTTCCCCTTTTCAATACTGAACTGATATTTGCTTTTTTCCTAGCCACAGTGCTCAGGTGAGCGATGTGGCCCATGGGCCTCTTGTGTTTTCTTTTGTCACCTAGACATGTTAGTCAGTTTAAAGTAAAGTTTTAGTCATGTTTCCTCTGCAGTGTGTCTGAATTCTACTTAGCTCTATGCAAGAAAAAAAATAATGTATGCTTGCTGCTCTGTCTTGACATTAAAATTAATTTTGCTGTCATAATTAGATTTCAATACTTTGATGAAAATGCTTGTATTTTTAATTGAAAATCAATCAAACTAGCACAAAATGAAGTCAAACTAAAGATCAAAACATAATGTCTAAAACTTCACAAATTTTCATACACTCTCTTAGTCAACAAGGATTTAGTACATAGGAGTTACAGAATTCCAACACCAAGTCCAAGACTGAACCAGAAAGATAGTAAAATTTTGTCACAAATTTCAGATGATCACAGTTTTGTCTTGATTGACTATTATACAGCTCAAGCACCTTTTGTTTCTTTAGTGTTTAAGTCACCCTCTGGTATTTTTACATGTCAGAGGTATTTTGTATATTTTAGTAAGATTAACACGTACAGCTGATTAGCAATTGTTGACTTTGATGTCACACGATCTGATTAACTTGATATTTTTAATCAGGGGTTCCATTTGATAACTGCAGTAAAAAATATGAAATTTACGAATTGTGATCATAAGGAAGTTAATGATCTTTAAATTTCAAGTTATCCACAAACATACATTAAAGCAATATGAACTGCATTTTTGAGAATTTTATTTTTCTGTTAAAATGTGTTATTATAATGAATTTGTATATAATTTACGCCTTTATGATCAATAAGACAAATATAAAGTATTAAATTGTTTCAGAAGAAAGACTTCTGTACAATGAAATGTATAGTATTATATAAGAAATCAATATTGTACAGGACGACAATAATGTAATTTTGCACCAATCAAAGCTTATAAATAGTTTTTCCATCACAAATATGAACAACAGAAGTTTATAAATGTTCTTTTTTCTGTCATTAAAATAGTAAATTACAATTTCTCAACAAAAATTTCTGACATCAAAGTTGCAGCTCATATAACTTTAATTTTTTAAAAAACAGACAGTAAAACAATCTCTTGATTTAGCTATATAGCTTGAAAAAGCTATATAGCTTTATTAAGCTATTCAGAATAGCTTGTTTTAGCTATTTTATCACACTTTTTTCTTAAATGTGTTATTTTCTCAGCATGCACAAAAAGTCGCACCTTGGTGCAGTGATAATATTAAACCTTGAACTCTTCTGAAAATAATGCATGTAAAAATCACTCATCAAATTACGTCTCCTTAAGAGACTTTGTACTCAAAGTTCTAACAGTTTTGGGGCTATTTAAAGCAATTGATACAGTTACTTCTTCATTGAAATTATAAAAGAGGCCAACTATGGTCAACAAGATAATTGATTGGTAATAATTCAGTACAATGAGAAGCAATCATACTTATTCACGCCTCAACGCACTAAAGGTTGTGTACAGTTACTCAAACAATGGAAATTCATCTTTTGCTTAAAAGTATTCAAATGCTGCAATGTTAGAACTAACTTTGATTTCGGTTGTTGTTTTGATAGCCCATAGTACATATATGAATAGTCAAATACTTGCGACTCTTCTTACAAAACACATTTTTTTGAAAAACTGCACATAAATAGCTTAATCAAGCTATTTTGAATAGCTTAATAAAGCTATATAGCTTTTTCAAGCTATATAGCTAAATCAAGAGATTGTGCTGGACCTGGTAAATGTATAGTGTGTACTATTTATAGAATAGGTGATAATTGTTCTCTCAATTAAAGTATAGTTCTTCAATTACGAAACATAAGTAATCACGTCTCTTGATTTAGTGCTAATTAAACTTAGCAGAATGAAATGTTAAGTAATCATATGTAATTTAAGAGAAGTAATTTTCAAAGAAAAGCATTTCTGCTGATTATGATGTTAATAAACAATCCTATGTCCATTGTCCATTATCACTTTAAAGAACTGCAAATGATAGTATTGATCTGCCGCCTACCTCCAAGCCAATTTTCAAAAGTTGATATATTTGTCAATGAATGATTTTTAGCTCTACTGGTCAGAGACCAGAAGAGCTTATGCAATAGTAAGGTGTCCGTCGTCGGTCTGTCTGTCTGTCTGTCCATTTAGCTGTCTGTCTGTCCGTCTGTCTGTAAACAATTTTTCAAAATGCTACTCCTCCTACAGTTTTGGTCTGATTACAATATAACTTGGCACACAAGTAGACTACACTAAGATACATAATTTGGTGCATCGGTTTTTGATTTTGATGAACAATGTTGCCATGGTTACTAAAAATAGAAATTTCTGTGAAATTCCTTTAAAACGCTACTCCTCCTACAGTTTTGGTCTGATTACAATATAACTTAGCACACAAGTAGACTACACTAAGATACATAATTTAGTGCATTGGTTTTTGATTTCAATGAACGGTGTTGCCATGGTTACTAAAAATAGAAATTTCTTTGAAATTCCTTTAAAAGGCTACTCCTCCTACAGTTTTGGTCTGATAACAATATAGCTTGGCACACAAGTAGATTACACTAAGATACGTAATTTAGTGCATCGGTTTTTGAATTCAATGTGAGGTGTTGCCATGGGTACTAAAAACAGAAATTTCTGTGAAATTCATTTAAAACGCTACTCCTCCTACAGTTTTGGTCTGATTTCAGTATAACATGGTACACAAGTAGACTGCACTATCATACATAATTTAGTGTATCGGTTTTTGATTTCGATGAACAGTGTTGCCATGGTTACTAAATAAAGAAATTTCTGTGAAATCCCTTTCAAATGTTACTCCTCCTACAGATTTGGTTTGATTTCAATCTAATTTGGCACACAATCAGAATACACTACGATACATAAAATGCATTTCGGTTTTTGATGTGGTTACTAAAAATAGAAATTTCTGTGAAATACTTTCAAAACGCTACTCCTCCTACAGTTTTCGTTTGATTTCAATATAACTTGGCACAGAAGTAGATTACATTAAGATACATAATTCTATTTATTAATGCATGTTGCAAATCCAAGTGCTACTTTGTTATACATACAGACCAGTAGAGCTACAGTCTCATGAGAGACTTCTGGTTTCATATTTATGTAGATATTTATGTGAATTTTCATAAAACATAACTTATTTTGGAAAACCAGAAGTCTCTGATGAGACTGTAGCTCTACTAGTCTGTACATATAACAAAGTAGCACTTGGATTTGCAACATGCATTAATAAATAGAATTAATATGTATCTTAATGTAGTCTACTTCTGTGCCAAGTTCTATTGAAATCAAACGAAAACTGTAGGAGGAGTAGCGTTTTGAAAGTATTTCACAGAAATTTCTATTTTTAGTAACCACATCAAAAACCGAAATGCATATTATGTATTGTAGTGTATTCTAATTGTGTGCCAAATTAGATTGAAATCAAACCAAAACTGTAGGAGGAGTAACGGTTTAAAGGGATTTCACAGAAAAAACTTTTTTTTTTGTAACCATGGCAACACTGTTCATCGAAATCAAAAACCGATGCATTAAATTATGTACCTCAGTA